CTAGTCTAGTGACGATTAAACACAAACGCAGTTTCACAAACCTCTCGAGTCATTTACCAATTAGTGCAGCAACCTGCAAGTGCCTCTAGTATCACTGAAGGGTATCCACGACGCCTAGCTGATCAGAAACATCAGCATGGTTAGCATTCGATCCGCCACGGTTGCCTCTGCGTGTCTGCTGCTCGGTATCACCCTCAGTTCCACGGGAGCAGATGACTCATGGGGTGACATGGCACAGTATACCAGTGGCAACTCTGGTACTCAGGAAAAGCAGTCCACACACGCCCCTGTCACATGGGAGGCTAACAAGAAATCTGGCGACAACCAAAAATCTGAAGACGACCAAAAGTCCGACGACGACACCACTGACGCGCCTTCAACGAAAGCTTCGTCTAACAAAGACTCGGATGAAGACACTAGTGATGTCTCCGCACTTGAACAATCGAGCGAAAACTCTCGGACGGAAGCTCCGGCACCGTCATGGGAGTCCAACGGAAAGTCCGATGATAACACCGACGATGATGACAAATCTCGCACTTCACCATCTTCGGGGGCAGACGACAACTCATGGACTCAAGCTCCGACAAGTGGAAACTCGGACGATGACAACGATGATGGAAACAATGATAGCTCATCGGAGTCCACTGGTACTTCAAAGTCTAGTGGAGACTTGTGGAAGCAAGGCCCTGTAGACAGCAGCCAAATCACTGCTAATGGTGGAGGTGCCACGGGAGGCGGGAAGGTCCCCGATGGCACGTGGCCAACAAGCACCGGAATGGTTCAGTATTCCGAGGCACGTGTGATCAAGGCTGGTGAGGTGTTCGACGGCAAGATGCAGACGTTCGAGCGTTCCGACGTCTCGTGTGAGGGTCAAACCGAGAGTGGAGCCGACACCGCCGTGTTCAAGATGGAGCCCGGTGCCACACTCAAGAACGCCATCATCGGCAAGAACCAAATGGAGGGCGTCCACTGCGACAAGCACGACTGCACCATTGAGAATGTCTGGTGGGACGACGTGTGCGAGGACGCCCTCAGTATCAAGGGCGGAACCGCCTCCAGTGTGTCGACTGTCACCGGTGGCGGTGCTCGCTCGGCCGACGACAAGGTCATCCAGCACAACGGATACGGCACCGTCAAGATCGACGGCTTCTACGGCGAAGATATCAGCAAGCTCTACCGTTCGTGTGGCACTTGTGGCGACCGGCCTAAGAAGGTGTCGGTCTCCAATGTGTGCGTCGTGAACCCGGGCAATGCCATCGTGACGGTGAACAAGAACTGGAACGATGAGGCCTCGCTGAGCAACATTTGGGTCAAGTCCAGCAACGACAAGGTGAAGATCTGCCAGTGGTCTCAGGGTAATGCGGACGGCGAGCCGTCCATGTTGGGCGACGGTCCGTCCCCGCCACTGTGCCAGTACTCGGAAAGTGACGTGCACATCAACGGCGACGTCTCTCA